GTCTTTTCCTGGTCACTAGGATGGATAGGAATTTGGAAAAATCCCGAATAGCCATCTAAATAACAAAAATATGAATGCCTAGCCAACCTTTCCAACATCTGGTCTATAAAGGGAAGTGGAAAATGATCTTTTCGGGTTGCCTTGTTCAATTTCCTATAATCAATACACATCCTCCAACCCGTAACCGTCCTAGTAGGGATAAGTTCGTTATTTGCATTCTTAACTATGGTCACACCTCCCTTTTTAGGAACCACATGAACCGGGCTAACCCATTCACTATCAGAAATAGGATAGATTACCCCAGAATCTAGTAGCTTAAGCACTTCCTTTTTAACCACTTCTTTCATGTTAGGATTTAATCTACGTTGGTGTTCTATAGAGGGTTTATGATCATCTTCCAAGAGAATTCTATGCATGCAAATTGATGGATTAATTCCCTTAATGTCGTTCATGGTGTATCCTATGACCTTGCGATGCATCCTAAGTGTTCTAAGCAACTTATCAGTTTCATTTTCATTCAGACATGCATTCACAATCACAGGATAAGTAAAATCAGGGCCAAGAAATTCATACCTTAAAGAGGAAGGGAGGGGTTTTAATTCTACCTTTGGTGCATTATCCTCTTCACAAATAGAACCTTTTGGCTCTAGCATCAATCTTTCAAGCTTTGCATTTCGAAGTGGAGCAGTTGATGTTGATTCTAAAGATTGAGCATACGCGGCTACCTCGGGGTCTTCATCATTTATTGAACCATCACTTACCAAACATTTCTCAAGTGGATCAGCTGAGTTATTGTTTGCAATTTGCTCATGTGTACACTTGTCAATGACGTCGACCCTGTAACAAATTTTATCAGTTAGAGGGAGTTTCATAGTATTACTTAAATCAAATTCTACCGTCTCCCCTCCAATATTTAAAGAGAGCCTTCCATTTTTAACATCAATTATAGCACCTGCAGTAGCAAGGAAGGGTCTTCCTAAAATAATTGGAATGTTAGAATCTTCTTCTATTTCCAAGATAACGAAATCGACCGGGATAAAGAACTTACCGACCTGGATAGGTACATCTTCAAGTATACCTACCGGATATCTTACCGATCGATCCGCCAATTGGAGTGATATCGTGGTTGGCTTCAAATCACCTATGCCAAGCTTCTTACAAATAGACTTCGGCATCAAACTTACGCTTGCACCTAAATCACACAAAGCACGATTAGTAGCAACTTCCTTTTATTGGATAGGATCTCTTTCAAGAACTTAGCATATGAAGGCATTTGAGAGATAGCTTCAGTGAACGGGATATTGATGTGCAATTTTTTTAAAATCTCCAAGAATTTTCCGAACTGCTTTTCTAACTTAGCCTTAGCTAACCTTTGGGGAAATGGTAGAGGAGCATAGGAAGGCATTTGAGAGATAGCTTCAGTGAACGGGATATTGATATGTAACTTTTTCAAAATCTCCATAAATTTCCGAACCGCTTTTCTAGCTTAGCCTTAGCTAACCTTTAGGGAAATGGTAGAGGAGGCTTGTAAGGAGCAGGGGCCACATATTTTTCAACTTTTTCTTCTTCTTGCGTTTGGGTCTCATTATCCACATCTATCACATTTTCATTTTTTTCTTCATGATGACCATCTACCCCATCATTTTCCTTCATCTTGGGTCCCTCATATTGTTTTCCACTTCTAAGAGTTATAGCATTCACATGACTCCTGGGATTTGTCTCGGGTTGTCCAGGTAGCATGCCTGAAGGCCTAGAGGAGGAACTAACATTTTGTGCCAATTGGGTGATTTGTGTCTCTAACATCTTGTTATGCGTAGCTAGGGAATCCATCTTAGAGGCCAATTGTTTCACCACCTCATTCGTGGTTTGTTGTTGCTGCTTAAACTCTTTATTCAATTTTGATTGAGTCGTCACAAACCTGCTTAAACTCTTTATTCAATTTTGATTGAGTCGTCACAAACTTCTCCATCATATTTTCCAAATTTGACCTTTGGGGAGGGAGATTGGATTGAGGAGCACGAAAACCAGGTGGACCAAAATTAGATGTAGGCATGGGATTTTCCGGTGGGTTTCTATAAGAAAAATTAGGATGATTCCTCCACACCGGATTATAAGTGTTGGAGAACGGGTCTCCCTTCTGATTAAAGTTATTAACATAGTTAACTTGCTCATTACCAGAAGTATCAATGGATGAGGGGTTTCCTAATTGACATTGAAGTGCAGAATGACCCACATAACCACATATCTCACATGAAATTGAAGTAGACGCCACAGAATTAATACTCAAACTTTCAACTTTTTTAAATAAAGCATCGACTTTAGAAGATATATGATCTAAAGCATCTATTTCATACTTGCCACCTTTTGATGTCTGAGGAGCACGCTCGTTCACCCATTGATAGTGATTCTGAGCCATATCTTCAATGAGATTGTATGCCTCGTCTATAGTTTTGTTCATCAAAGCTCCTCCTGCAGCAGCATCAACAGTCATCCGAGTGTTGTAAGTGAGCCCGTTGTAGAAGGTGTGAACAATTAACCACTTCTCCAGTCCATGGTGAGGGCACATCCTCAATAATTCCTTGTAGCGTTCCCAAGCTTCATAGAGTGACTCTCCTTCCTTTAGTACAAAGCTTGTGATCTGGTTCCTCATCTGTGCTGTTTTACTTGGAGGAAAATACTTTATAAGAAATACTCTGGACAATTGATCCCAAGTGGTGATGGACCCAGCTGGTAATGAGTACAACCAAGCCCTAGCCTTGTCCCTTAAAGAGAACGAAAATAATCTGAGTCGAATAACATCATTGGTCACTCCATTAAGTTTCAAAGTATCGCAATACTCCAAGAAAATCGATAGGTGGAGGTTCGGGTCTTCAGTAGCACCTCCTCCAAACTGATTCTGCTGAACTATTAAGAGCAGTGATGGTTTCAGCTCAAAGTTATTAGCTTCAACATTGGGCCTTGTAATGCTTGACTGTGTGCCTTGAGAATTTGGGGCTGCGAAATCCTTAAGAAGCTGATTTTGATCTCCCATCGTAGCTTGTTCTGTGTTCCTTTGCTCCCTTATAGACTTTCTTATGTTTGCAAGAGTCACCGATAGTTCAGGATTGTTTTCGTCGTTTACTTCTGTTTGATTCCCTTGCATAAAAGAAAGTGAGAAGCAAAGAGAAATATATAAAAAAAATCTAGTCTAGCTTAATAATGTAAGCACTCAATATTAACACCGTAGTCCCCAGCAACGGCGCCAAAAACTTGATGGGCAAAATCTGCGAGCGCACAGACTCGTTGTAGCTATCAAGGTCGATCCCACAGGGACTAGGGTTAATTACCAAATTTTACGTTATTAGACTAGCTAAACCAATGAGTAAATTAGAAGAGATTTAATTTTATGCTAATCCAAATCAAATCCCCAAGGAATCTAGCCTACTTTCGTGGTTCGAGCTCCCTGCTTAATTTCTAGAGATCCGGTATTAATCTTCACCTTTCAGTCCTTCAATTAATTACCTATGATTGCTAATACGGTGATCAAGCGAATCAACAAAATTAAAACACTAGAAATCAAGTTCAAAGATTTAAACTTTCACCAAGAACCTATATCAATTCATCATCAATCACCAAAAAGTTGGGTTCTTTCCCAATCCTAGACAAGAAATCTACTCACACATGATTGGAATAAGAGAAGACATCAAATAATTATGCAAATCAATCATAAGAAGAAATAAATCAAAGAGAGGAAAGAATTAACCCGTCTTTCAATTGAAATCTTCAAAATAAGAACTTGCAATCCAATCTTCTACAAGAGATTAATGTCTTCCTTCAATACTTGAACCCTAGAATAGTTGCTAGTTGATGGCTAAAAGAACATAACAAAAGATATCCAAAACCCTAAGTCAAAACATCTATTTATATGTCCCCAAAAATCTGGAAAATAACTAATTCCCGCGCCACCGGTGTGGTCTGCACCACACCAGGGTGTGGTAGGGGCTGTTTTGCTGATTTCGTGCTTGTTTGTATAGTCTTCGGTATTTTGGCTATAACTTTTACGTCCGGCCTCGGAATGAGGTGATTCAAATTGCATTGGAATCCTGTTGAAGAGATCTACAACTTTCATCTTTTGAGTTTTTCTTGATTCAAACTGCATCATGGTCGACATTCCAGTTCTTCATACTCGTGCATCCATTTTCTTCACGAACCATGCCTTCAAAATCTTGTGTTGCTTCAAACTCTTGTAAAACTTCCAACGATCATCAAATCTTTCAATCTTGAGCCAATACCTACATATAAGAACACAAACCACAGCAGTATCCTCGATCTAAACACGAAATATGCATTAAACACTCGTAAATCATGCTTAAAACACACTAAGATAATGCATATTTTACGTGTTTATCAAGAGGGATCATGGATGATGGATCTGAACAGGTTGAGCGAAACTTGGAGGGTGTGTTCGACATGATTCTTTTGGATGCTTTTCGAAGACTGCCCTCTTCTAATAATTTAAAGCACTTTTATCAAACCGAAATAATTTAAAAGCAGTGAGAATTGTTTGGACATTCATTGGAATTTTTTTGAATGAAAATAGGGCATACTGCCCATTCATTGGAATTTTTGAAAGTGTAACAATCTTAGGGGGGGTTATTCGTTGGTGTAATTTGGTGTAATTTGGGGTAAATTGTTCCAATGGGGTAATTTTACCCAATGGGATAATTGAGTGGGATAAAGTAGGGTAAAATGAGGTAATGGGACAATTTGAGTGGGACAATTTTAGTATGACATCTTTTTATAATATTATATTTATAGCTCAATTAAATTCAAGTTTATCTTGATATAACATCAAATGATTAAATAAATAATAGTTATAATATAAAATAATATTAAATTTTAATATTATTTTAATATAAAATATTAAAAATAATATAATAATATTAATATTAATCAATCTTAAAATATTGTGATGTTTATTTTAACTTATGCTAGATTAACAAATTTTTTAATTGCAATAATTATTTAATCATTCATACATCTAATTATAATGATGATGATGATAAAATCTTAATTATTACAAATAAAGTCTCAGTCGGTAACTTAAATCTTAATTATTACAAATATAATCTACCGGCATATAACTTTGCTCTAGACTCCTTGGGCTACGTTTGTCCCATCCTCCCACATTGTGTTTGCTATTTGTTCTCTCCAACGTGATGCAGCTGTCCGTTGTGCTTGTTGAGTTTGTAGGTCATCGTCCTCATCAGAATCACCATCAATCGGAGCAACATTGCGTGGTGCCTCTGGAGGAAGATCAGAAACTTCAAAGTCATCGTTGGAGTTCTCCATCTTCAGAAAATTATGCAGGCCGATACATGCCCAGATCATACTTTTTTGAGTCTCATATGGAAAACCTGGAGGTTGAGACTTAAAAATTGTAAACCTAGACTTAAAAATGCCAAAAATACGTTCAATACAATTTCTAAGTGATGAATGTCGATGGTTGAATAGCTCATGAGCATTGCGTGGTCGCTGACGGTTGTTAGCTGGGCCAAACTCTTTAAGGTGGTACCTCGTACCCCGATAGGGAGCCAAGAATTGTAGCCTATTTGGGTAACCACAATCAACTAGATAAAATTTACCTGCATTAACATTTCTTTAGAATTATAATCAATAAATATAAAATCTAACAAATTGATAAAAAAAATATTTACCATTTGGAAGTGGAAGACTACATGCACTTCTACTCATTGCATCCTTCAGGACCCGTGAGTCATTGGCAGATCCCTCCCATCCCACTAAGACATAAATAAACCTAAGATCAAATGTGCATGTTGCAAGGATATTTTGAGAAAGATAGCCATGTCTATTACGGTATGGAGTTTGGTCCTCGCCATATACCATACATGGAATGTGGGTCCCGTCAATAGCACCAATACAGTCCTATATATTCCCATTAACATATATGAAATGTGACTTTAAAATTATAATAATAACAATGAATGAAGACTTATATAGTGTATTTAAATTTCAATACCTTGAAGTAAGTCCAAAAACGAGATTCAGATGTGACCTTTTCTGGTGGATCAGTAGGAGGAGGAGCCATCATACAAGGAGCTAATGACACAAGGGCCTGTAGTGCCTTATTGAAACAAACACTGACGGCAAATCGGGATCGATCAAACCTTTCAGTGGTGATGCAATATCGTTGATTTTGAGTAACGGTGAGTAGGAAAATAGCAACCATCTCCTCAACGCTGATATACCGTGTATCTTGTAAATGCCCACGTTCTCGCAAGACCATACACAATTTCATGAAGCAATCCGGATACATACGGTATACTCGACGAAAATCACGTGGGTTGCTATCCATCTTAAATTTCAAATATTGAAGGCCAAGGTCCGTAATGCCATGTCTGAGTTGGGAAATGGGTAGATTTATCTCCTCTTGTGATATGAGGTGCGAGATACTCGTGACTAGACCTCCTATTTGTGCAGCCATGTTGATAATGCGAATGAGGAGATTATCAGCAGTATCCTCATCAAATAGCAAAATAGAGACATTCTGATTATCTTCCATCCTGTATTAGGAAACGAGATCAAATAATAGTTGACACAGAACTAACATCTATGTTCCCAAAAGCATAGAACTAACAACATGTAACAACATCTATGTTCCCAAAAGCATATAAGTCCAAAAGCATCTATGTTCCAACAGCATATAACTAACAACATGTAACAACATATAAGTCCAACAGCATATAAGTCCAAAAGCATCTATGTTCCAACAGCGTATAACTAACAACATGTAACAACATATAAGTCCAACAGCATATAAGTCCAAAAGCATACAAGTAACATGTATGTGCTTAACATCTATGTTCCCAAAAGCATAGAACTAACAATATCTATGTTCCCAAAAGCATAGAACTAACAATATCTATGTTCCCAAAAGCTTATAACATAATAGTCATTAATAAGCATAATTGTCGTCATTTGGAAATACTCCAGTCAGACGCCAAATCATAAACCTTCTCCTTTGATCATCATTCATCTTCACAAACATATCCTTCACGTCTTGGGAAATATTTTGACTAAGGACGGTCAATCGTTCTTCATCGGTAAATTCTGGAATTGAAGCCACTCCCTCGACCCACGGTTGGTTGCGGCTTCGCAACAACCTCACCTCTGTGACTAACTCTTGTAAAGCCTTACTTATAATTGTAATTCCACTCGCCATTTCTTGCACGGCGGGTTGAGACAATGCAGAGGTGGTGGTGCGGGGAGGTGCTCTACGAACATTTCTGCTAGTGCTAGAGGTTGATGGAACAGATTCAGCCACGGGAGTGGTAGGACCTGGCGTGCTATAAGGGGGAGGTGGTGGAGGATCTACTGGTGGTTGGGTAGGTTCTGCTTCACCCATAGCATCAAGTCCAATGTCATCATCCAATATACCCTCACCTAATGCATTATGTAATGGTGCACTCTCTACACCCTCACAACCTAAGCCTCCTGCTGCTCTCCCACTAGCTGAGTGGCTACCCACAACCATCTGCATATCCTCAAAAATTTCAAACAACTTATCTTTAAGCATTGGTGTATTAGGATGAGCCTGTCAAAAAACAAAGATAACAAATTAATTTTTGTAAGTAGGAAACATAACAATATATTATGTAGTAAGAAATTTTGGGTAATGCAAAATCTAACCTGTTTGTAATTTTCCCACACCTCAACAGAGCAAGTAATTCTTTGAGATATTGGGTCCCAACCAAACCCGGAATTGTTCCTCAATAGTAATTCAATTGGTTCAATCTTTCTCTTCCAGCTTTTGATCTTATTCTTGACATGATCAAATTTAAAAGTTCTTCCAAATTTAGCATTCATGAATGGCAACACATTTTGTGTGATGGTATATTTCTTGAAGTTGTCATTATCCATCTTGTTGCCATTCTTCACCTCCTCCACTAAAAGCCTTAGTAGCTCTCTATTCTCTTGCTCTGACCATACTACATAGTCACACCTAGCCTTTTTTGCCCTCTCACCATCTTGAGAGAACTCTTCCCCATTTTGAGTTTCCGAAGCAAAATTCATCCTACAACGCAATTATCAATAATGAGTTTCCATATATATATCTTGAACAATGTCACTTTAGTTTTGTAACCAGTTTCCCATGAATGTCATACTTATATGTGTGCTTTAGATCTAACAGTATTAGTGTGCTTATCCTCACATGAATGAAATCTTTCTAGCTCTACTGCAGGAAGTGAAATAGAAGCTACCGTGTTGTACTTGAGAACATAATTTGAAGTATGGTTGTGCTCAAAGCAAAAATATAACAAGTAGGTGCAGCCTCTTATACAACCACCATTTTCCATTGCGTAAAAGATAATACAACACAAAACTAATCACCTTGGAAATTTATGAATTCCCATTTACCAAGTATATTTCTAAACAGAATGATCATTCTCAACGATTGTCAAAGTACTAACTTGTGGGGGTACAAATTCATGTGTCATCACCTCATATCCAAGAAATGCTTAACTAAAGAATGTAATACGTGAATTATTGGAGACGTACAGTAACTTTTATATCTTCGCCAATACAAATATACATGTGAATACAAATAGTAATGTCAATACTATATTATACAATATCCAAAGAACCTAATTATTTCTCTCCCATGACTCACATACTAGCCACTCAAATACGACATCTAGATCATAAGTAATTAAACTGAGTAAGGTCTTAACCAGGCTAGCTAGTAGGAAGTAGCCAAACACACCCTCAAAACTTTTTCACTACTCAGTCCATCTAGGTCTGCTAAAGCTAAGGATTATGATGGGTAATTACATTAAGCTAGCCTTAATCAAAACTATTTCGAAAGCAGATAATTGAACTATTATGATGGGCAATGTCACTCAACTCTTGTTAGCATTGATGAGGATATTAGTAGCTGGTGAGTTTTCCAGCAGCAAATTTGACTTGCTAGCATTGATGAGGAGATTAGTAGCAAAAAATAAAATGTCACTCAATACCTATAGACCAAATGCAATGTCAATCAACTCTTGTTCGTAATACATCAGTTCATTAAAAACCTTTCAATTTGTTTTCCTAATCTGTTAAAACATTCAATTTGTTTCCATAGGCATGCTATTCAATTTGTTCACTATAAAATTCAGTTTTGACATCGGTGCCTTATGGATCCAGAGATTGTACCTGGGTTGGGAGGCGGTGCCGCGGAGGAGGCCGCGGAGGTGATGGCGGCGGCGACCGAGCCCGAGAACGGCGACGGCGAAGCGGGCGTTCGAGCTCGAGAACGACGTACGAGCTCGAGGCGGCGAACGGCGTTCGGCGGCGAACGACGTACGACCTCGAGGCGGAGAGAGGATGCGAAGGAGGCGGACGTCGACCTAGAGACCGGCGCCGTTCGAAGTCGAGGCGGAGAGACGAGGTTGGAATTTGGGGGCGTCGGTTCTCCAGCTGGGTTTTTTGGTTCCAGCGATAGAATTGGGGCAAATTTTGGGGCTTGGACTTAACTTTGCTTTTATAGGTGGGGTAAATTGGGGGAAAGTGGGGAAGTTGTCCCAGAGTTACCCCATCAAACCAATAACACCATAAAGATTACCCCAGTTCCAATTACCCCAACCAATAACACCATAAAGATTACCCCAGTTCCAATTACCCCAACCAATAACACCAAACACTATGTTCCACAAATTATCCCATTACCCCCACAAATTACACCAATGAATAACCCCCCCTTAGGAATAGAATACCAGTAAATTGAAAAAAAACCAACATGCTAATTTAAGTAGTAGTAAATCACTTACCGTGTTTTTCATACAACAATATAACAAATTATTCACGATATATTTATGTTACTTAGAAGATAATGATTCATTTTTTTATTCTGTAAAATTTTTAATGTCCTTAATTATTTGTTTCTTGCTTAAAAATTAGTGTCCATTAATAAGGTTCTTTCCTTATATATATAGGAATGCAATGAATCCTAGACCTTTTCAAGAGATTCAGTTCCATATATACGATACTGAGTTGTCTTTTTTTCTTTGTTTTTTCTGTAAACATCCACACCGCAGTCGCCCCCCCCCCCCCCCCCATCCACACCCCCCAAACAGTAAAAAAAAGAAAAAAGGAATAAAGAAAAGGTCTTCGGACCGGTTATTAAAAACCCCCCTTAAATTCCATAATATCAGAAAATATCTCCTCAAGTATAGAGATTATCACAAGACCTCATCAACTTTTAGATTTTATCAGAAAACCTCCCTCAAATTTAGGGGGCTTCTGGTAAACCTGAGAGCTAAAAGAGGGTTTTTTGATAAAATCTCAAAGTTAAAGGAGGTTTTCTAATAATGCCTAAACTTGACGGCGGTTTTCTGATATTTTTAAAGTTAAGGGAGCTTTTTTGATAATCATCAAAAGTGAAGGAGGGGTTTTATGATATTTAGAAGTATTGAATTCAAATTCTTGCTTTCTTATATTGCGTTGCCCCAAGTAAGAATACAGTTGAAGTGCAATTTACAGCACTATAATGTTGGAGCAATCTTTAATTCGAACACACTTCAATTTGAGCAGTACATTAGCTCCTCTGATTACAACAATTTTATGGGGTTCTAATAACATTAATCATATGAAAACACATTTTATTGAACACAAAGCTGATTACATGTTTTGAACCATACGTTGGTAATTAAATTTCCTAATTTCCCTTGGATTTCTCGTGATTTAGCATACTGTGCTCAAATTCCGTGCATTCTCATAAGATTTTCACTATAATTAGACATCTATGATGAAAGTTCAATGCGATTAAAATGACGAAAGGTTCGACTACCAACCAAAACTTTAACTCAAAGAGGGGGAAGAAATAGCGTAGCATGAAATATTTTTATCATAAAGAGATCATTCTCCCAATGTATCATGTGTTAAGCGCATTATAACTTATAAGAAACAAAAGTAAGCGATAGCGAGGTGACGCCTACGAAATTAAATGATAGTTAATTCGAAGTGTTAAAAAACTAATTAGAATATCAAAAGCAAAAGATTTAAACATTAGGCTAACAAAGTACAGATAACCCTTGTTATTTTTTACAAAACAAAAGTGAGCTTTTGTCACATCAGACCCCTTCGGTTTGTTAATTCTATATACATTAGACCACCAAATCTTCATATTTCTAACTTAGACTTCCAAATTTTCATTTTTGTTGGTAGGATATCTCATTTAAAACAATTTAATAGATTTGAGGGTCTTACTTAAAACAACTTGGAAAAATTTTACAAAACCCTCAAAAAAACTTGAGCAGTTTTCCACGAGACCCCCCCTTTAACTTTCCCCCCAGAAATCCCCTCAATTTCTCAAGAAAATCCCAACTCTAACAACTCCAAATTGAACCATAATTTATGTTCAGTGCTAAATTCAGTTGTAAAATGCCTTTCGAACCGCAAACATATCTCTTCAACGGAATGATTTCGAATAAGTAAGCAAACCATCTTGAATAGTTAGCGTGGAATTTCATAACACCTTACTATTGCAAGCAAAAATTTAGAAAAAAATCACGTGAGATTTGAAAATTTTAAACAAGAGAAAAAACAAAGATCAGATCTCCGACCTTGACATCTGCACGAAGATTTTAACACGTGAAATTTTTTTTATGGGAAAGTTAGCGCAAAAAAAAAAAAAAAAAAAAAAAAAAAAAAAACACACAACTTTAAAAAGGGTTTCGTGAGAAGTGACTCAAGAGTTTTAGCGTGAGCCCTTTTTTTTGGGTTGAAAATTTTCCAAACAAACAATCCTTTACTGGACAAATTTTCAAAACCGACCCTTTTGGGTTTTTAATTACAAAAAACGACCGGTTTTGAAAATATTTACAAAAATCGACCTATTTAGCTGAAAACAGGTCGGTTTTTTTAAATTTTTTTGGAAAACTTCACGGGAGTTGAACTCCCGTGAAGTTTTTCTCATAACAAAACTTCACGGGAGTTGAACTCCCGTGAAGTTTGGAAGAAAAAATTTCAAAAACCGACCCAGTTTCAACCAACTGGGTCGGTTTTTATAAATAAAACTGAAATAGGTCGTTTTTTGCAATTAAAAATCCAAAGGGGTCGGTTTTGAAAATTTGTCCATCCTTTACTAGGAACGTTCGATGGGCGAAGCGACAGGCGATCTTCTCAAAAACTACCCCGACCCAAGAAATAGAGCAAGAAAAGCCTAAAAACAACATTTAGCAAGTCGGCGAGCTGTACATAATACTAGACTAACAAAATTTGTAACGATTTAGGGTCTAAATATGAAGGTTTTGGACGATATAATACTTAGGGGGTGTTTGTTTGCCTGCAAGTGAAAGATGAAAGTGAGAAAATTATTTTCATTTAACAATTAAGGTGTTTGTTTTCATGTAAGTGGTTATGAAAGTGAGATGCAAGAAAGTTGCCACATATGATTTAATGTAATTTTGAATTCCCCTAAAAAAAATGGTGAAATCACATGAAAGTGACAAAAAGATAACTAATTTAATTAAATGATTTTAATTATACTTTCTAATTAATCTTATTTTGTCACGTCATCTTCACATTACACTTTCGATGATAATTTAATTTTTCCAAACAAACATTGTATTTCACTTACGTGCTGACATGAATGTAAAAATCATTTATAAAAAAAAATAACTTACATATTTTAAATTCACTTTTAAGATTGCCGAACATTTAGATTAACAAAGATTAGGAGTCTAAAATATCACGAGAAATCGTGATGCTGACTTCCCCAGCCACGCGAAAATGATGGGGGAAAACATCGGGCTGTCTATACGCCCTCTCTCTCTCCCCTTCTCCCCAACGACCCAGATTTACAGCGCCCGTCCGAAGTGCCAGCCTTCCCTTTCTTGCCCCCGTGCTCCCTACTATATAACGCCCTCGATAGTCATTTCCCCTCTCCCCCAGTTTCCTTCTCTACCGATCAACCCCTAATCAAATCTCACCCAAATTCCCACCTAGAATCTCACCCCAACCCTAAAAAATGGACCCCACCCCCGACGCCGCCACCGCCTCCTCCTCGTCTGACAGCTATCAAAATATTTTAACAAAGTGAGATATCAGCTCTTTCTCTCATCAGTTCTAGGACTGACTTGTCGAGGGAACCTACAAGCTATTACAAATCACAGCAAAACAAACTATTTTAGGTGGTTCGGCAAGTTGCCTACGTCCACGGGACAAGGAGGGGGGATCTACTATTAGAGAGGGAGAATACAAATAGGATTTACAATCACACAAGATCTCACAAATAAAACCTTCAAACAATGGTCAAGGAGAAGAAGCCAAAGAAGCCTAAGGTGACTGTGGCCGAGGCCGCGGCCAAGATCAACGCCGACGATCTTGCTGCTCATCTTGTGGATGTCTCGGTGAGAGCAATTTTTTGGGATCTGGTTGGATCTTTAATTGAGAGATCACGTTGTTTTTTTTTTTTTTTGATAAAGTTTTTGAAATTTTAAAATTTTGTTGTTGTAGGGTTCTTATGAATCGCAGCAAGATATTCAGCTGATGAGATTTACGGATTACTTTGGGAAAGCTTTTTCGGCGGTCAGCGCATCGCAATTCCCTTGGGCGAAGTTGTTTAAGGAGTCGCCGGTGTCAAAGATCATTGATGTAAGTTTTGTTTGGGATCCTTTTTTCGCGGAATTTTTTGGTTTTTGATACAGGAAATTGCTTGCATTGTTGTGGAAATTTTGGGGTTTGACTTGAAATTTTGATCTTGGTTGTAAATATTGGATCTTGGTCATGAGAATTTTGTAGATCTATTTCAGCACGTGATTTAGTCTCGTGATCATCTTAGAATAAGCATAAGCTTAGCTCGAGATATTTATAGGACTGAACACTTGATCTTATCGTGATTGTCATTCTATAGCTACGGAATTTGAGCTTCATCTGCAATGTGCTTGTAACATTTATTTGAAAAAATTAATCTTGGATTTATCTTTATGGGGTTTTGAGTGTTATTGTTAGTTGGATTACATTGTTCGAAGAATAGTACTGTTCTCTAGTCTATATGTAGGACTATAACTCCTTTTACTAGGTACATGCATGTATAATTGGGTGTATCTTAGGAGGATGTACCTGATAATTACTTTTTTTATTTTTTATTTTAATTATTTCTCTCGCTTCCTTTAGGGCCCGTTTGGTTGGAGATTGAGGAGCTCGAAAGCTACCACAGCAGTCCCATCTGTGGCAGCTTTCGGGCTCTTTCCCACCCAAAAACGAAGAAACAAACAGCCCCTTATTGTTTTGTTTCCTAGGTACTTATTTTCTGAATCAGGGACGCATCTCTCTTTTGACCACTTCAACAGAAGCAATGTTGTCAGGCTGCAAAGAAATTTTCTATTTGAATTAATATTTTATTTTTGTCAGATCATGCTTCTGTATGGGCATTGAGTTAAGCACTTAAACCTGTTTGGACCGAGAAGAACAAACTTTTTGTCCTTGTGAAAATAGTATTTGACATGTACTTATAAATATACTACTGAGGACTACACCACATCTGAACTGATTATAATCAGTCGGGATGTGCCTTGAACATCCTTTAATCAATTTGTCCTGCTTTGGCAGGAGTTCTCCTTTTCTTAAGCCGGCAACAATTTTTGACTTAAAAGAATAGGATCCTTTAGCCTTTATCTTGTCAAATTTGTATGCTTTACTTTAGATGCATTTTCTTTATGGGACCTGTTGCAACATTAAAAAGTTCTTAACCTGACACAGTAATTACAGTCCAAAGTTCATGATGGTGAAGTATCAAATTCTCTGATTAATTCTTAAATGGAAGAGAACATCATTGCAATTAGTGTCAAGGATGCGTAAGTAGTTGACACATATGGTTCATCATTCAATCAAAGAATGAAATCGTTGGAATTCCTCATCCTGGGTTGTTCGTATTTCATTTTGCATGCCTCTGGTGTGGCCTAAAACAATGATCTTTACTTTATGAATCTTATTCATGAACCTTTTCTAATAATTTTGATGTGTGCAATGCATGAATGCAAATCATGGGGTGACAAATGGAAGCAAGGAAGAATTTTGAGGTGCTTGAATATCATTATCATTGTTGGTCAAAATGAACTACTGCTGATCTGTAGATCTATGCCATAATGGGTCATCACTAAATTATTTCTTTGATATACTTTGAATCTAGTAGATCTATGAACAAACATTTCTTGAGTATATGTTTAGTTAGTAATATTTGGAGTCTCATTGTTCCAACTACATTCAAACTCCAAGATATTTGTTTGGTTGAGTTTTATTCTAACTTTGAAGAGTTAATGTGAAATAAAAATACTTCAAAGTGGGAGAATCAGTGCAGTGTTCAGGTTAAGGTGTTCCAGTGACGGAAATGGGAATTGCATGATACTACAAATGCACTTACAAATTTCAGCTACTTCTTCCCAAACATACCCCTAGAGAAAAGAAAATGATACGCCAGTTCTAATATGACACGAGTGTTAATAGATACACCAGACCTAAGGTGACTTGAGTATTACTACTTGCAACCATTTCCATTTTTTGGTACCTATATATATCTTTCTCTTTTCCTTGAATCCAAAGTTCTTTCATAAAAAGCAAATTGCATGCTTTACTTGTCCTTCTCTAGATTTGATAATTGGAAGCACTATACATAAGTTTTATCTTTTACTTTTCATGCATAAACAATTGAACCATTACAACGCATATGTTATTTTTCTTTTACCTTGCAATTTGTAATTTGGCATTTATTTTCATTTGATTTTTGCAATTATCCTTTGGTAGGAAGGAATATCGATTTCCTTAAACCCTCATTTTTATATATATCTCATCCCAGGGAATATTTTATATTTGTCATGGTTATTTTGGGTGTCTTGGTGTAGAAGCCTTAAAATTTTAACATGCCCATGTTGCTTCATTGTCCAAGTATGTTGTGGGCTTTTGTGCCATAAAATAAGTCACCTGATTGGGGTCTTGCTTATGTTAAAATGCTGTTTTGTTCCCTTGCTTTTGTTCTATTTGTAGCTATGTATAAATCTTTGATATTTATTGTAATCTTGATAACTTCTATGGTCTTGTCTTGGTTATGCTTGAGTTTTGAACTAAGATTATATTTTTTAGTGGACACATGCAGTTTTAGCTTCAACTGATGGTTTTTGGTGCATGTCTGCACTCTGCAATGCCAGCAATATTATTTCTGAGTTTAATCAATTTTTTTGGTTTATATGGAACAGGTTCCTTTATGTCATATTTCAGACTTAGTCTATAAAACCTCAGCAGATTGGATCTCTCAAAAATCCGCCGATGCTCTTGGTAATTTTGTTTTATGGTGTCTTGATAGTATCCTTGCCGATTTGGCAAATCAACAACCGGCTGGTAAAGGCTCAAAAAAGCCTGTTCAACAGCCTTCAACGAAATCTCAGGTACTATTCAGCAATGTATTAGCCTTATTCTTGTCACTAACATGTGCTAGAGTGGCATTAGCTTCTGACTGATGCTTATTTGTTGAACGGACCATCAAACTTGAACTAAAATGATTTCTTCTTTCTCTTAAGTTATCTGCACTAAAATGTTCCAACAAAATGTGATTAGAGTTTCTTTTTCGTCTTTCTTTTATGTTTCTGTTTGACTGATTTGTATGAAGGCTTTCCTAATATTAATTAGTTATGTAAATTTTTGGATGGACACTGGATAGGAAGCCATATAAGTAACTAGTAGGTTCAGTTACTTAATGCAATGTTAACCAGGGAATTGGTAACTCCATAAGTCCGTTGAAAATGAGATGTAACTGCATCATGTTCAAATTCTTTCCGGTATCTTTTATATCGTCCAGGAGATGGGAGATCCTACTTTAACATCTGGGTGCAATCTCGGTTTGGAAATGCTAGTTATTGTCATCATTGTAAATTCCTTCTGATCATGATAAACATCAGCGTATCAGAGTGGTATTTTTATGTTCATTAAAATGCATCACTACTTTTTTCTTGTGTGTGCAGTTGGGAGCAGTACTGGGGTTAATAATGTCTTTTCTTGGCAGTAAGGTGTATCTATTTTCACTTAGTAGTTAGGCAATAGGAGCAAGAAGTTATAAAGTATAGGGTTCTTTTTCTTGGCTGTCAAGTCATTATGTTCGATAAGCAACTGCGAGGCTTAAGCATATAGGCACATGCTGGTTTTTTGGAATTTACTCTACGTCCTGTTGACCCATTTCCATCACACCACTACTTGACGTTTGCAACTTTAAGAAAGTTCAATGTGCCAATTCAAGACTGAGCCATTGTCGTAAAAGCCAGTGTACTGCATTGTGTGGTTTATTGTTAATTTTGCAGATGGGATTGTGCAGTGAATGCTGCTGGGGTGAATAGGAAGAGAAAACAAAGAAAGAGAGAACAACAAAAAGAAAAGAAAAGAAAAGAAGAAGATGCTTGCTGGTTGCCATTTGAACAAGGAGAAGGGAGGTTAAGAGAAAGAGTAACCTCCACTTCAACGAGAAATGCAAGGAGAAAGGGTTAAGGCTGGATCCCTAACCCATGTGAAAAGTTCTATTCATTCAAAACCGTTAAAATTGATACGAGTGGATGAAGGGTCAAACGACGACGGGTTCACCTCAAACTTGGTGTGTTGGGGTTTTAGAATATGTAGATCAAGTTCAACGGAGCGGATCATCCATAATGTCGCTCAATCATGTGATTTTAGAGGCGTCATAGGAGGAAATCCCCTCCGTTGAACTAATATATATATATATCCTTGTTTCTGTATTTTATACATGATCTTGTGTACTCAGATATATGGTGCAGGGGTTGATTTTCATGTCTCCTCTTGGCTATCTATTTAAATTTTTTTTCCACATGGCCTTATGCGATGTTATCAAAACTGCAGGTTGCAATCTTTGTTGTTTTGGCAATGACCTTGCGGCGAAAGCCAGACGTTTTAGTTAGCATTTTGTCAAAATTGAGGGACAACCCAAAATATCAAGGACAAGAGAAGTTTCCAATAATCGTATGGGTTGTTGGTCAGGTATCATATCTGTGTATTAACCCCTAGTTAATTAACTAAAAGAGATAGGCTCTCGGAACTTCTCCTTAACCTGATGAGAACTTTAATACAGGCTTCTCAAGGAGACCTAGTTTCTGGGATGTATGCCTGGGTTCATTATCTGTTGCCTTTGATCTCTGGAAAACCTAACATCAACCCACAGTCGAGGGACTTGGCTCTGCAGTTGGTTGAGAGGTACACCTAAGGACAAAAGGAAGAAAAATTGATCTATGATTTACCTGTTTCTTGTGATCTAAACTTTTACCTTTTCCCCCCAGAATTTTGTCAGGACAAAAAGCTCGGTCTATCTTGCTGAATGGTGCCGTAAGAAAAGGGGAGCGCTTGGTGCCTCCTTCTGCACTTGATTTGTTGATGAGAGCAACATTTCCTGCTCAATCTGCTCGAGTCAAGGTTAGTTTTATTTTTTTATTTATCTCAGTCTCTTGTAGTTTTTCTTAGTAGCACCTCTTTAAGTTCATATCTTGTTCAGGCTACAGAGAGGTTTGAGGCGATATATCCGACTCTCAAGGAGCTGGCCCTTGCTGGTTCTCCAGGTACCAAAACTACAAAACAGGCATCACAGCAGCTTTTGCCTTCAGCTGTGAAAGCAATGCAGGAAAGTAAGTTTGGACTTATTATTGCTTGTGGTTCTGCATCAACTTGTTATTTTCCTTTTTATATTCTCTAATTAGGAAAGCAAAAGAGAGATGATTTCATTACTCTCAACCTAAACAATAATTATTTGGCAGACAATCTTGAGTTAGCGAAAGAAGCTGCTGATGTATTCATCTGGTGTTTGGTTCAAAATCCAGATTGCTACAAGCAATGGGTGAGCTGTTCTTATTGCAGTTTGAAGTTTTCTGGTGTTTGCAAATAGCTTTACAATGGTTATGATTGTTTAACATTGGCTTTGTCATATCTAAATGGAATCAGGAAAAACTTTACTTGGATAATGTGGATGCAAGTGTTGCAGTTCTCCGCAAATTATCTGATGAGTGGAAGGAATATTCAATCAAATTCTCTCCTTTTGTTGCTCTGAAGCAGACACTTAAGAACCTAAGGACAGAGGTAAACAAGCATATTAATGGAATGAATTTATGTTTAGTAAGTCTAAAGGTGGATAATATCAAGCACTAGATGTACAACTTCTGTTTTGGAAGTGATCCTCTTGTGTGTATTCTTCTATATGTTATGGGTTAATTGTAGATATACTCCCAAACTATGAAGGTATGACCACTTATAAACTTATTTTATACTACTTACACCCTTGAATTCCAGACAGCATTATTTCTTTCATTAGGTTGACATCTCACATGAGAAACAAATGATAATAAGTTCCCTTTTGCCTTGAATTTAACTAGAATACTAATTTTTATCTAAATTAAGGGCAAAAAGAATAAATAAATAATACCATCTGATTTTTAGGATGTGTAATTGCTAATAAAAAAAGTTAGTGGGATATAAGTGGCTACACCCTCATAGTACAAAGGGTTTATCTACAATTTGCTACCCCTATATTATTTACTATAGCATAATGTTTCACTGACAAAAGCCTCATATTTTTCCTTCCAGAATGAGAAGGCCCTATCGGGGGCTGTTGATGCCAGAAGCCAAGCATCCATTAAAGAAGCCGACAAGCTCTGCAAGGTGATTTTGGGTAGAGTATCCCGTGGCTCTCGATGCATTAAGAATGGATTACTTCTGCTCACGGTTGCAGTTGCTATTGGATTTGCTGCATCCTCAAATTTGGAGTCATGGGACTTGAAGAAGCTCCAGGCTATGGTTAGCAGTTCCCTTCAATCCTTTTGAAAACATGGCTTAAAAAAGATGGCATAAAAAAGAGTAAGAGAGTAGCCAAACTTATGTTCAAAAGTCGGTCTCTAAGAAAGAGTCCATGATAGTTCAGCTCCCTGTAGAGAAAATTAGTTTAAGGAACTGTCTGAATTGTGCAAGTTTGTTGAGAAATAGTTAGGCTGCATAATATGTTGTTAGTTTGTTTTCGGGGATTTTCAAAGTTTATATACCCTAGTTGTTGTGTTGCTTCTTTTCTCTAACTCTGAGATGTAAGTTTTTCCTTAATTTAGTTGTTCCTGCGGTGTGAAAGATTCAATAAAATTTCTTTTCGATAACTCTGAGATGTAAGTTCATATGTTTTCTTGTAGTGATTGTGAACCCTGGTCTATTTGATAGAGCAAAAAACTCTTCATAAGCAGGCAGTGCCAGCTTTTATATGCAAAATTCCAAAATTTGGTTACAATTATAATCTCCTGTATGGTTCCGAAGTTGAAGTTTTCCTGTAGTGTTTGTGGACCCTGATCTATTTGATACAGCAAATTTCTTCGTAAGCAGGCGGTGCCAGCTTATATGTGCAAAATTCAACAAAATCCGGTAGCAATTAAAATCTCCTGTCTGGTTCTGGACTTGAACTAATGTTTGGTTGCTGTAGTTGCAGTTGTCATTAGTGTTCTTCCACTCAATTCATTTCATTGTCTACAGCTGTATTGACTAGTCAATTTTCCTATTTTCGTCCCTTTCCCAAACTTTTCAGTGAAAACCAAACTATCCAATGCGGCACTTTTGATTTCTACGCTACAATTCAGGCAGAGAAGAAGCACGTGCCAGCTTTTATGAAACGTTTCCGTGCCTCATGTCATGTGGCTCTCGTTTAACAATCCGACGATGATCGACTGGAGGCACGCGCTTGCTGTCTGCTCCATTTCTTTTATGATTTACGAGTTTCGTATTTCAAACCGACGCGGGTGGAGATGCTCCGACTCGATCAGTTAATGAGAGGATGATGCGGTGGACGCGGGGAAGGGGAGATACACTGAACCCTCAAAAGACAGGGTATGTCAACCCATGCTGCATGAATATTGATATACCGACAAAGGATGAGATTGACATTTGTGACGCAATTTGACTTCTGAGGTGTTCATGCTATTCTGATTTATTTATTTTTTAATGTACATGCGTCCGTATTTATCTCGTTTTCTTAAAAAGAAAAATGGGAGAAGTGGATATAGGAGGAAGTGTTATTCTTTAGTGTATATTTACCGAGGAGTAAACTAACGTCGAATTCAATCCTGTTTGTCGTATTGAAGCAGTTGGGTCTCGACGCCTATACGTCTTTGAGAATCAATTTTACTGGGTTTCATGATTTGTCAATAGATATCCAATATATTCTGTAAAATTTTTTTGGATGCAATTGATACGGGTGTATCTTCTCTTCGGAACTTAGTGATCCTCATGGGAGCTTCAGGATAAATGATTCTCATGATAGCTTGAGAATAGAGGTGTAAAACAGCACAGTGAAACGCAGGTTGAAGCGTGGAACGAGACAGCGAATCGAAGAATCGAAGCATCCAGTTTTTAGCCCGTCAGTCGACTCATAACAGTCACGAGTCGACTCATCAGGTTGAGTCGACTCATGTCTGTCATGAGTTGACTCACGAAACCCAGCCGTTTGTCACCAGTCTGAGACGAGTCGACTCATCTCAGTCATGAGTCGACTCATTGCTGGTTTTGTGTTTTGTTCAGTTTCGGACGAGTCGACTCATCTCAGTCGTGAGTCGACTCATCGAAGATTTCCTGGTTCGTTTGGGTTTCTGTTTGCACGAATTCCTGTTGGGTTTGGGCTTGGTTATTTACCATTTTGCCATCCACGTTGTTACACCTATATAATGGATTGTTTAGGGTTTCTAATCAATCAGATGTAATCAAAGTGAGATTCTAATCAAGAGAGATTAGGGTTTAGAGAGAATTGAGAGCTTGTTCTCGATTCTAGTAAGATTGTGAGAGAGAGATTGTAATCTTTTCATACTCATAATTTAGAGAGGGTATTTTCCTTCGTCACATACTAAATTGTTCTTGTGTTTCTGTCATCCTCTTCTCAATCCACCTTTGATAATTTCGCGATCAAAGATGCTCGCACGACTGACTCTTATCAGCAATTCAACGTTCAACATCAATGTAACTTTCAAGCAAAAATCTCTCCCAGCAGATGTGCATATGCCTCTTATCCAATCTCATCCAAATAACCCATCTCTTTGTCGCCTTTTGTATTGCCTCGCTTCAGTGCTGCTACAGTTTTATGCAGGCCGAAGTGAGTGCAAGTTGTTTACCTATTGAGCGCGCTCTCTCTCTCTCTCTCTCTCGCGGATGCCTCATTATAGA